TTGCCATTCTGTCCTCAAGTCTTGGCCATTCCACCCCTCCCACGATTGCTCTCTCACTTAAAGGTCTTCTATAGATTGATTTGAAGTGGTCCACAAGTTTTTTGGCTATGCCATCCTGGTTGGTAATCACCTCCTCTTCTATCTCTAGCTTGGTCACAAAATTCTCTTCATCTCCTATTGGCCAAGTCATGGAAAAATCTAGTGTTCTCATCACCTCCTTTAATCCACTTATGTCTAGATTTTTGTCTCCAACTGATTTCTTCCCTCAATAACACCTCTTCTAGATCCTTTTTCAATTGACTCCTTAACACTTTGTCATCCTCGGTCAAACCATTTTGGGATTCTTTTTCATCCAAGTTTTCTATTCGCGAGATTAGGCTCATTTTTTGCTCCTCAATTCTGCCAAACTGATCTCTATCCACTCTTTTATTTTGGCTCTCAACCTTTTTAATTTCTTATGGAACTTGATCCCCTTCCATCTTACCCCCCTCACCTCCTCACCCCACCACTCCTTCACTTTTTTTTCACAAAATCTGGATGGGTAAGCCACATATTTTCAAATCTAAAAGGTTTGGGTCTAGTAGAAAAAGACTCGGTACCTATCTGGATAGGACAGTGATCAGAGGTGATCCTAGGTAATGCTCTAGCAACCAAGTTTTCCAAACTGTTCTCCCAAGCTAGATTAAATAAAAACCCGTCCAACTTTGAACACAAAGGGGTTTCCTAAAGGTTGGACCAAGTATAATTGGTTTGCAGCAGAGGTATTTCCTTCAAGTCACAATCTTCAATAAAACCATTAAATTTTCTCATGCTTGTTGTGATTGCCTGTTGGGGATTACTGATTGCATATACCTCCCACATTTCATTTCTCTCTCTATAGGAGTTAGGGCCATAAACATTGGCTAGAACCCATACACACCCATCCTCTACATTCTTGGACTTAATGGAAATGGAGAATCTGCCTATCAATTCTTCCACTGCTTCCACCACGTCCTCCCTCCACAGTGTTACAATCCAACCTACACCTCTAGACCTCTAGAAACTCCTAACCCATCTCCCATCTAATTCCATCAGTTTGGTTTCTTGTAGAAGCACAATGTCGGGTTTTTCCCTTTGGAGTAGGTCTTTGATCACCATTCTCTTCCTTGCACTCCCTAACCCTCTTACATTCCAGCTAATAATTTTCATCGGGACAAAAATAGCTAAACACCCATGAAGAAGCCTTTGTCTCATTATTTTAGGCCCTTCCTCCTATCCCCTTTACCACTATGTTCTAAATCTTCCTCAATGTCCGAGATTAGCCTTTCCACTTCAGATCTTTTTTTCTTCTTTTTTTCCTTTTTCCCCCTTCCTGATACAATAAGTATCCTCTTCCTTCTCTACATCCTTTCCATCCAATGTCTGAAATAGATCTTTACCACGCTTGCACTCATTTTGGCTGCAACAGCTCTCTCTGACTCCTTCCTTTTTTTAGTTCCTCTGGCCCTGTACAAATCAATTTCTAGATTTTGTCCACCTCCTCACTTGTCCCCTTACTCCTTCCACCACTCTCTCCCCTCCTTCCACTATCACTCTCTCTCCTCCATCCACTATCACCCTCTCTCTTACATCAAATCCTCCTGGATGGGAAGCTTGAGTACTGACTTATGTGCTATGCCTGTAACAGAAACTCCTTGAAAAACTTCACCAAATCAGATGTTTGTAGGGTGAATCGATCAGGTCTAGGTGACAATGTTTGGCCTCAACCCAAGATCTCCCAAGAGAGATCTAACAAAATCTCTCCCACTGGTTGCGCAAAGTAGACTGAACAACAATTAGGGTTGATCAAAACAGCCCTAATCTCTTTCACAGAACAGAGAGGGAAGTAAATCTGAATAGACGAGACAATATGATTACTGCTTTCAGTGAAGATCAAGAGAAGAGAAAATAGATCAGAAAGCAATCCACTTTGAAACCATGTCAACACTCTTAGCCGAATAGAGAAGAGAACAAGAATAATCTCAGAGGTGTCTAGAATTGTCGACCCCCACCTCAAAGAGTCTCTTATATATTAAAAGATATGTACAGTTACAAGAATGCCCATACAGGGGGATGAAAGAGAAAACAAAGAATACAGAATACAGGTAATGTAATGTATAACAGGGAATATACTAATAAGATACATCAAGTCACAAATTCTCCACATTAAAAATGGTTTTTAGACCTGCTTTTATAGGAGAATCTTTAGGGGGAGGGGGGAGGGGGGAGATTCTCCACAAATCTCTATTTTAACATATATCTGAAAAAAAAAAAAAGAAGATTTCATGGGACATGCTAACTTTGAAGGCTAATTTGGTTCATTGATTAGATGATCTGGGTTTAAAATCCATATTTACTCATGTATTTTTGTCCATTCTTTAATCTACACATTCGCATGCACATAACATACTCTTTGCATCTACCTCTCCTATAACAAGAATAGGGGCTCCATATTGTTGTTTTCTATAGGCTTTGTAATTTTTATTGCTTTCTACATTTAATGTTTAGTTCTTTCTTCATGCTATTATAACCTCCAATGTTTGATACTTCAACTAGGGAAACAGGCTATTATCATTAAAAGAAAACAAAAGAATCAGGGATGCTAACCAAGTTTCTGTATAAAACAATCATCATCGTATGGGTGACTAGGAACATCCCTCTCACCTAACCTAAATATTCTGTACACATTGTAAATAATACTCTTTTACCTGAAGGGATGAGAGATCCATCCTATGGACGCCCAAAGATTGCGGAATAAGGGGCGAATTTCAAAAATTTTATCTCTCCCTTCAACTGGGAATCGTWTTCCYCATTTAGAAAATCATATTTTCATGGATCAATCTTGAACCATAAACTGAACCAGATCTGAACCAAAAGGAGTGGGAGAGGATTATACCTGATACGGAGAAATACTATCTCCT